AGAGCTTTCGTTTGAGTACCCACATGCATTTTGATATATTTTTCATATATACATATATATAATATATATAAATATATGAAAAATTGATGTGGGTACTCAAATCATAGGTCTTGATAAGTGTAACATCGAGATAAGCTTATATCTTTAAAAATGTCAATAGTTGAGAAGATAGCAATGTCAGTTCTTAATTATTAACATTTTTAAAGATATAAGCTCATCCTAATGTTCCACTCATCAAGAGCTTTCATTTGAGTACCCACATGCATTTTTGAAATATTTTCCATATATATATATATACATATATAAAATATATGAAAAATTGATGTGGGTATTTAAATGAAAGGTCTTGATGAGTGTAACATCGAGATGAGCTTTTATCTCTGAAAATGTCAATATTTCATATGCTACAGGGTCATTTCTTAATTATATATCTAGAGAAAGAAGATTTTCGAATGCAGCCAAAATACTTATCATAATAAATTGATTATCGGTGAGAATGAAATGAAACCTTGAAAAGGCACAAATTTAAGTCAAGACCTTTGCAATGACACTAAATATCACTAAAAAAAATCAATTTTATCATATGACTATCCTGGATACAAAATTTTTCTTATTCTCTTAATAATATATAATAATAGTTCTTAGAATAATTAATAATTTTTATTAGTTTAATTAAAATATAATTTTAATTAAAAAAATAAAATTTTAAGCTCCATAAGGCACTGAGAATACTCTAAGCACGTGAAAAAATTTTTACATCAGCTTTCTTTGCTGCTGTAAAATAATAAAGAAACATTCTTGTGAAATAAAAGATGCAGCGAGAAATAAAATAATTTAATTGCAACATTTTTTCCCGCGCGAAAAAAAGTTAAAGCGACATTTATGAGGTACTGAGACAACAGTAACTATAACTAAGCATCACTTGCACACAGTCTGTACACACAGTTTACACGTCTTCAGTTGCAGAAACAATGAACCGCCTACGTGAAAGCTTTATTGCTGTGAAATAGCGACACTGCGCGTGTTATGTCCCGCAGCAATCTTTCTTTTCAACTGTCTGATTACTTGTATAATTTATTCTTGTGCAGGTGAGAGAGGGAATTATCTAGTTACACTGAACAATAGAAATTTATACCTATATATTTAGTAATGAAATTAAAAAAACTTTGAGAGGGTATTGATTTTGCGTAGTCGGGTATTTTTAAGCAAAGTTTATTACAAGCGAAATAGTTTGGCTTAAAAATCCAATTTATATTCCGAAAATTTCATCAAAGCTTCGGGATCTATTTGTGAAAAAACTTGTAAAAAAAAAGTGGATGTATGTGGTCCTAGTACTCTTCATCTTGATCGTTTGACGTTCACGAATAATTTTCCTGATGGCGCATTAAAACCCGTAACGCCACTATTTTTACCTTTTATTTGAGAAAAATTATTCGCTCAGATATCGAACACTAAAAGCCTTGATAGAATAATTCGATTCCCGTGAAATAGTAACAAAATATGAATTTTATCATGTTACATGTGGGATGGAAGAATCTTTTTTTTCATATCATTCAATTAGAAATGTTTCGAGTGAAAAATAAATAAAATACTTTGAAACAATAATCATTTTTTAACTTTGGAGTATTTTGAAGGGGAAAAATTAATATTTGAAATAAGAAATTTTATAAATTAAAAAAAAAAAACTAGCAACCTTGCAGTCACTTTATGACTGTCGTGACTTGTGAACCATAAATAAATAAAATTTTGCTTCATTTAATAATGGCTTTTGTTAAATTGCACTGTACTTTCTTAACTATTGACATTATTAAAGATATAAGCTTATCCCGATGTTACACTCATCTAGACCTTTCATTTGAGTACCCACATCAATTTTTCATATATTTATATATATATATGTATATGTATATATATGAAAAATATATCAAAATGCATGTGGGTACTCAAATGAAAGCTCTTGATGAGTGTAACATCGGGATGAGCTTATATCTTTAATAATGTCAATAATTGACAAGATAGCAAAGTTAGTTCTTAATTATTGACATTTTTTAAAATATAAGCTCATCCAGATGTCACACTCACCAAGAGCTTTCATTTGAGTACCCACGTGCATTTTGATATATTTTTCATATATACATATATATAATATATATAAATATATAAAAAATTGATGTGGGTACTTAAATGAAAGGTTTTGATGAGTGTAACATCAAGATGAGCTTATATCTCTAAAAATGTCAATAGTTCACGAGATACAAGGTCATTTCTTAATTATGTATCTAGAGATAGAGCATTTTCGAATTCAGCGTAAATACTTATCATAATAAATTGAGTATTTGTGAGAATGACATGAAACCATGAAAAAGCACAACTCCAGGTCGTCTTTTCTAATGATACCAAATTTAATCATAAAAACCCATTTTTTCATATAAATACACGGGGCACAAAATCTTGCTTATTCTCTTAATAATATAGATTATGTCAAAAATTTTTTTATGTTTAAAATTTAATACAAAAATTTGAACCCAAACATGTTTTTGACAAAATTTTTCAAAAAACTCCTGTTTTATGCATCGTGATTAAAAATCGCAAAAAATTTTTTTTATTTTTAATTTCAAGTTGGCTTTAAATTTTCTAATCCACTAACAACAATTCAAATGGGTTATATAGTTTAAATATTGTTTCAACAGCTTGGGGACCTATCATAAAATTCAGCATTACATACACACAGTACGGTTACAGATATTTATTCGCCTACGACTATGAATAAATGTATCCACGGATATGTATGTGAATTATAAAATAAAGTAAAACTCATATAACAAAACAATAAAGTTTAATCCTTTAGGGAGGAGCTTTTGTGAATTTAGTTAGTGTATAAATGTTAAAATTAATACTCTTGATAACAGACACAATCTGCGTATGTGTAGATTTATAACAGTTATATTTGTCGAAAGTTTGACTGAATTACATACTAAACCAAACTACAATCTAAAACTTTTGTTATAAATTCAAAATTTTATTATACCCTCAAAAAGTTATTAGACATTTTCATTTCCATTAATTTTTTTTTTATCCATCATAATATTTTTACTGTAATAAATTTATCAGTGATGGTGATGGTGATAGTGATAAAAATAATGATAATAATTATATTATAATATAACGGTAATGATAATGCAGCTTTAATTATCAGATAAAGTAGCTTGGCTTCGGTAATGACTAGATAAAAATTATTAAATTCAACGTCTCAAGTGCGCAGGTTTAATTAATTTTTTTTTCCTAGAATTATGGAGAGTGAACTTTTTTTTACTCTCATAAGAAACAGCGATAGAGATTGAATTATTTAATTAAATTAGTGCTTGATAGTTGCAATTATAATGTTATTCAAACAAATGACTAAAGTTTGTTGTTTGCATTATAAATTCGGTGAAATATTTGAACAATATATGAATTAAATTAATTCATTTTCAAAAATAATTAATAACATAATTAATAACACTCAGGAGTGAAAATACGTAGCGGGATTTTATGAAATAAAAGTTTTACATAAATCTCAGCAAAACTTTGGTGTACTTCATTCCCATTCAAACAAGGATTTTATCTTTTATTTAATTTGTATTACATAAAATTTAACAAGAAACTTTTCATCATACAACTTTAATATTTTACTTTTCTTGTAATGGCTTAAGAAAAAAAATTTATTTCACAATTTATATTTTTATGACTTGAGACAGATTTTTTATAAAAATTTTAATTAAAGATTCACTTTATTCTCAACAATAACAATAACAATAATAATAATAATAATAATAATAATAATAATAATAATAATAATAATAATAATAATAATAATAATAATAATATAGTCACTAAAAAACTCGTTATTTTAGAATTAAATTTAATAAATAAAAAACTTATTTATTTATAATTAAAAATATTAGTAACAAATATAAAATTAATTAATAATTCATTTAATTAAATAAAAAATTAGAAAAAAACCCGAATTTTTCTAATTTCTACTCAAAAAAATTTTCTGACTCTTTAAAACTAATATTCCGGCTAAAGGGTGAATGGTACAAGTAATTTATAAGGACTTATTTTATAGAACACTAAATTTCCTACAAAAAAGTGCTCTTACAATTTTCTCGTATCTTTAAAATTCAACCGAGAATTTAAAACGCAAATTTTAACAAATTATTTTCACACAACTTTATTCTGAAAATGTTTCATATTATGTCACAGAAATTTATTGTATAAAAAATGAGTGTGGAACAATATAACTTATCATTGACCAATTGACGATAGAATACATAAATCTTTCAATCTATAGTAAAAATATATCGGTACGGTAAAAAACATAGATATATCTTTTGAAAAGGAGAGATGAAAAATAGCGTTAATCAATAGAGTGTAGCGTAAAGGATGTGGAATCAGAAAGCTCATATTCATCTTCTTACACCCACAGTTCATTTTTCAAATTTATTTTCACCAAATATAGATTGTATAGTTCCTATCACCTTCGCTCTATTACACTCAATACTCCCACATGTCTGCTTTCATCAATTTATCATCCATCATCATTATCTTTTTCTTTCGTTGCTTTGAACTAAACTCACTTTTGCTTTTATACTTTTTCACAATTTTTCTCTCCTCGCTATTCTTTAAAAAACAACCTTCATTAGAGGCGACTTTAAATTACACACCAGAACACGGGAAAATGTGATCTTCAAATGTATTTACTTCCTTTGACTGAATTTTTCAACATTTTCAATTTACATCTCTTTTGCATTCGTCTAATATTTCTTACATGGAAAAAAGTAAACTGTAATAAATAATAGTCGATTTATATATATTTTTTTAAATAAAAGTACATTTATTAATAATTAGTAAATTTTTTTCGAGAGGAACTTAATTAAGTTAATTTTAATCTAAAATTTTTCTTCTTAAATCATTTCTTATTTTTATCGTTGCTGTTTCAGAATTAAAACAATGCCGTGATGCTTTTGAGGAGTACTTCGTCCCGACGCAGAAGGGCGTCGAGGAGCGTCGCTAGTTCGCCCCAATCCGGGAGCGCACCTGGGGCCACCCCCGTCCCGAGGGCTCGAAGGGCCTCCGTAGCAACTGACAAGGCGATATCATTGACATTAAACACCTCCAGTTCCGGCACTAACGAAATGGACAGACAACGTTCGCCTCGCGGCAGCGTCGTTCCGAACATTGCGTTTGAAGCCGAGGACTCTCATGATGAGGTAATTTACACTGTTTGCATTTTACATCCAATAACGTCAACCTGAAATTAATACAAATGTTAATTACTATTGTATCATTTATCACAATCTTAATTAATATATGCAATATTAAATTTATCTTCTAAAGGCTAAATTTTCATTTTCTGATGTTGAATAATTTGCAAAAAAATAATTCCATTTAGAAAAAAAAATAAACTATGATAAAACCATTTCAAACAGTAATAAAAGCTATGTAAATGTCAAAAAAGTTAAAATGTCATCCCTGAGTTTGAATTACTATTTGAAACATAAAAAATTAACAAGAATTTGATCATATTTTATATTGCACGTCTCATAGCGCGAAGCGCGTGAGGTTGCGCTTTATACACCCGACTCGTCAAGGTTAAGCAATTTTGTTATACAATTATTTAAGTAGATGTACACCGAGAAAACACTTAAATTAAACCATCTTATACTTTCTAAAACCATTTATTATTGCTATTTTGAAAAAAAAAAAAAAACGATTACTCCCGAACAAATTGATATTCCAAGATTGAGCTTTTTTTATTAGTTTAATTATAAATTAAGAATTCGATGAACTGGTGTCCTATTTCATATCAGTAGCCTATATAGTTTACGTATTTTTTTTTTAAATTGAATTTGTATTAAAATTCATTACGATATACATGTACAAAAACGAACAAATTTTTCTTATTTCTCTCACGTCAAAACTATGGCGCTACTTGATCAAGCTAGATTTTTTTAGACTGCGTGCGCATATGACAAGAAAAACGGGCGCCGATATAAAAAAAAAAAAAAAAAAATAACAAATAATCTGTAAGAAATTACTTAATTATTTTTTTTTTTTTTTTATCAATTACACAATTTATTATTTTCTAAAAAATGAATTAGCGTTATGAGGCGTACACTTTTGGATTTTCCAAACTTTTTAATTTTTTTTTAAGAAATAAAAAAAAATTTAGATTTATTTTTTTGACTGCTTACAGCCAATCGGTCGGAGAATTCTACCAGACCCCGAGCTCTGCGGATCACGAGGCCTACTACCGGACCCCAACAGAAGTTCCCGAAATTCACTAGTCCCTGACGATTACATGAGGTCACCTCGTGGATCATTAGTTCCCGACTCCGCGCGGAGTCCTAGAAATAGTTTGGTACCTGACGGCTCGAGGAGTCCTCGGCACTCGTTGGTTCCTGACGGGCCCCACAACCCGAGGAACATTTACGGCGTGGGAGGCTCCGAGCCTGCCTACAATCGGAGTCCCAGAGGCAGCATAGTCCCCGGGTCCGCGGCAGCCTTGTCCGCGACCCGGAATAGCCTGATGCCTGACAACGGAGGGATCAGAAGCTCGAGGCATTCGCTGCTTCCAGAAAGTACATCTCGAAGCCCAAGAGGCAGCATCGCCAACATCGACTTCGACAGAACCCCGCGAGGGTCAATTTGTCCGGATATCCCGAGGTCGCTGAGAGGGAACGCCGTCACGCCTATCGACCAAGAGAGAAGCCCTCGCGGGTCCATCTGTCCGGAAATGATCGAGAGAGGCGCCTTGAGGTCTCCCAGAGGCAGCATCGCGCCTAACATCGACCAGGAACGGAGTCCGCGGGGGTCCATCAGCTCGGAGTACCACAACCCGAGTCCGCGGGGCTCCATAATGCCCGAGGTCAACAAGTCCCCTCGAGGGTCCATTGCACCAGATCCTAATCGGTCACCTAGAGGATCTATCTGTCCTGAAGCCGCGAGGAGTCCTAGAGGGTCGATAGTTCCTCACGAAGCGGGAAATAGGTCGCCCAGGGGCTCTGTTGCTGTTGTTTCTGACTTGGATCGCAATCACAGAGGGTCAATTGGTGGCGCGCCTGATCAGGACAATCCTAGTCGCAGTCCGAGGGGCAGCATTGGGCCGGAAATCGATCACAGTCCTAGAGGAAGTCTTGGTGGTTATGAAAAGCGAAATCATCGGAGCAATAATTTTGCGTTTCAAGAACCTCGGAGAGCTTCTGCTGATCAAGGTATACTCATTGATTTATTTTTATATTTTTATCTTACATTTTGAGGAAATTTTGTTAATTTAGTATGCAAACATAATGATACTGCCATTTTAATACCTTATACCACACATTTACAAAATTTTATAACAGACGGTGAAAACGGTTTATTTTTAACATTGATTAAATGGGATTTGACGAATGAAAATAATTGTTTAAAAGTAGTTATTAAACTATTTGACCTTAAAATTTTTAATATGACTTTCATAATATTTTTAGATTTTTCGGATAATTGGCTATCCAGTATAATACAAATATTTTTTATATTTTTGCACTATTGTTAGCCTGTATATCCATCCAGGCATAAACAATTATAAGATAAGTGATTTATTTGTATCACAAAAATTATGTGTTTTACAAAGAATATAATTTTAAATATATTAAATATTTAAAGCTATGTGTTTATAAACCTACAAGAGTTTTTTTAAACTTTGAAGTTCTATAAGATAATATAAATGACTATGGTCATATACATATACTTTGTACATGTGTTTATGTGCTTACGCACTTATACATTTAACAATCAATTTTATACTATCTCATAATATAATCCCTCAACTATATTGAATATACTCTCCACATTCTCTCTCTTTTCCTTATTTTATACATACAATTTTTAACAGAAAAAATAAAAAATTTTTGTATTAAACTGGATAGCCAATTAACTAATAAATCTAAAAGTATTATATACACCAGTCTTTGAGAGAAATAAATATTAAAAGTATACCATCGGCTTTGAAAAAAATTGTATTAAATTTCATAATATTGTTATGATTCTATTTTTAAAAAAAAAGCCAGTTCGTTAAATTCCGTGGGATACGACGTATTACCATGGCAGTATCGATATGTTGAAATTAAATATCAAAAACGAAAAGAATTTATGATTATAATAATAAAATAGACGTCATGTAATTTAAAAATTGAACTGTGTATAAAAATACAAAAGACGGTTCAAATTATAAATTTCATTTGATCTACTAAAATTGTAAAAATGTGTTTTTGTCTAGTAATTTTACTATTATGTTGTTAGATATCTAACAAATTAATTTATAAACCATATGTGTTCAAAAATTAGTAACCTTTCTGACTAAATTTTAATATTACAAGGCAATATCGTACTTTTACAATGCACCAATTATAAATTTTTTTCGTAAGCTTGACATTTAATTTTAACATATATGTTTGTATGCTGAAATATTGTTAAATTTACAAAATTTTTTTTTATAGTAGAGAAAAAAAATAATATCACAGAAAAATTTAACTTTGAGTTATATGTTTGATTAAAAAAATAGGAAAGTCTTACAAGAAATTTTCTTGGCTTAAGAAATAAAAAAAAAAATTTTCTTGAGATAAAAAATTACTTTCTCTAAAGTCAAGTTAATTTTTTTTAACATTTTCCTTAAATATAAACTTGTACTTTACAACTTGAAACATAAATAAATTGGGTTTCATATATATTATTTATATAAAAAATGATAAGTTAGAATCACTTATGATAGGGCCGTGAATTCACGTTCGCGTGTATTCCAAGGGTCATAAAACTAGATCGTAAAGTACACCCGATTCTCGTTAAATCGCAGCTACTTGGATGTTTATGAGAGAAAACGAATGTGAAGAAAGATTGTAAAAATGTAAGTCGTGAGATAGCTCGAAGATCTTAACGTGTATTTCTCTTAGTCTACTGGTACTTTTACTGATGTTACTGCAGATACTGTGACGCTACTACTTGCACTCGATAAGACACGATCACTCGGTGTACTATCATGAGAATAACGCCGTTTCCAATTGCAGATAGAAAAAAAATGTAACGTATAAGTTACATAACTTCAGATGAGGGTGTAAAAAATGTGATTTATTAAATCGAGTCGAGAGTTAACAAGATATCGAGATTTTTTTATCGTCTCAATTTTCTTCCACTGGACATTACTCAAAAGTCTATTGAATTTTTTTTAGGTTATAAAGTACTGACTTTTTACTGACTAAATACAAAATTATTGATTTTTCAATAAGTAAATAATACAAATTAAATTAAATATTAATATTTTTTCCTCTTAGAGCAAAATTACTAAAACTTAATGAAAATTGTAATCTAAAACCGCTTTATAATTTTATATAATTATCATTTTTTCTCCATTAATTAAATGATATGGTAATTCTGAAATAATTTACCTCGGTAATTAACAATGACAATTATCCCTAATTTTGTACCGCTGTCGCTTATTTATATCTAGAAATTTTTATTAAATGTCTCAAGTAATTAGTGTTATTAAATTTTCACTAAAAAAATAAAACAACAAAAAATATTAAGAGGCGCGCAGTAGCCTATCGGATCCGGCCCTTGCTATCAAAGCAGTGGACCGGGTTCGAATCCGGCGTACACCACTGAATATTTTCAATATTTAAGTGTATTATTCTGCTCAGCCCAAGAAATACAAACGAGTTCCAATCTCAAAAGTTTACCCCCTACCGTAGTCGCTCATGACCTTAGTAGTTTATGCGACTTTAAACAAAAATATTTTATTTATAATGTAAAAATGAGGCGCGCAGTAGCCTATCGGATCCGGCCCTTGCTATCAAAGCAGTGGACCGGGTTCGAATCCGGCGTACACCACTGAATATTTTCAATATTTAAGTGTATTATTCTGCTCAGCCCAAGAAATACAAACGAGTTCCAATCTCAAAAGTTTACCCCCTACCGTAGTCGCTCATGACCTTAGTAGTTTATGCGACTTTAAACAAATAAAAAAAAAAAAAAAAAAAAAATAAATATTTTTCTTTTTCATTAGTCATGAAAACCTAATTAATTAAAAAATAACGAAACATATGATTAAATTTTAAAGTTAATAATAAATTTCTAGCCACAGTAATGTAATGTACTAAATAATAACCGTAAAAAAGAAATTTTTTTTGAAGCATAAAATAGTGAGTGAAAAAAGGGTAATTTATTTTAAAGGTACGTCAGCAAATCGCAGTGGGTCACCTTATCGTTATCGTGACGGTAACACAAGTAGCGTGAGATCTGGTCCAGGTCATGGAACACAAACGAATTTAGGGTATGGAACAAATGCTTGGGCTGAATCTAGACGAGCCAGCAGTTCGGTCTCACAGGTAAAATCACAAAAAATAATCATTTATATCTTATATCTACCGTAAGAAAATTGATATTGCTCCTCCTATTTCCCATTCATTCTTTTCTCTCTCGGTATATAATAGTAAATTACATGAAAAATTTCCCGATATAATATAAAAAAGCCCACTGTGTATTCAACATTATTTGGTCTTCCACCTTTCATCTTCCTTCGTAATAATAATATTGATAACATATCACAAAACATCAAAAACTTAGACTGAATAGAAGGTTAAGATTCAGAAAATTTATTTCTTTTTTACCCCAACAATTTTAATTTTGTATCTTAAAAATCGAGACATCAGATTATTCATCAGAGAAAGTAAAAAGTTTTCATTACAAATCGCTTCTCTAATAACTTTATCTAAGTAAATAATATATTATTAGCAACCTTGCAGTCACTATATGATAGCCGTGACTTATGAATTATAAATAAATAAAATTTTGTTTTATTAAATAATGACTGTATTTTCTTAAATATTGACGTTATTAAAGATATAAGCTCATCCCGTTGTTACACTCATCAAGAGCTTTCATTTGAGTACCCACATGCATTTTTGATATATTTTTCATATATACATATATATATATATATATATATACATATATATAATATACATAAATATATGAAAAATTGATGTGGGTACTTAAATGAAAGGTCTTGATGAGTGTAACATCGGGATGAGTTTATATCTTTAAAAATGTCAATATTTAACAAGATATTTTTTAAATTGCACTGTACTTTCTTAACTCTTGACGTTTTTGAAAAAATAAGCTCACCCCGATGTTATACTCATCAAAAGCTTTCATTTGAGTACCCACATGCATTTTTGATATATTTTTCATATATACATATATATAATATATATAAATATATGAAAAATTGATATGGGTACTCAAATGAAAGGTCTCGACGAGTATAATGTCGGGGTGAGCTTATATCTTTACAAATGTCAATTGTTTACAAGATACAAGGTCATTTCTCAATTATGTATCTAGAGATAGAGTATTTTCGAATGCAGCCTAATTAATTATCATAATAAATTGAATATCGGTGAGAATGATATGAAACCTTGAAAAGGCACAAATTCAAATTAAGACCTTTGCAATGACACTAAATTCCACTAAAAAAAACCGATTTTATCATATGACTATCCTGGACACAAAATTTTTCTTATTCTCTTAATAATATAGATAATTATATTGTTGATTGACTGATTTGAAATTTATTAAATTCAATAAAATTTTGATGAAAATTACAGAGATCACTGTACAAAACTAAAAAATCATTGTAAATCCTAAAAATCAACTTATAAAACATTATAATAATGTTTACCCTTGCAAATAAAAAACTATAATTGTTTAGAAAACATAATTGAAGCTAAACGCTAATTCAAAGTTCAAACAGTTTGACTAAAAAACATAAATGATTTTCAACCCTCGTCCAACAACCAATTGACAGCTAGTATTATATATTTAACGCAACCACATATTCACCAGGTAATTACTTTAGCCAAGTATGCATATGAACTAGTTACTTAGTTGTTCTATCGCACCTTATATTGGCGTTTATCGCTTTACTTGAACTACAATTACCACAAGTGAAAGTTTTAGCCCTCAACTTGACCATAACTTGATCTTACAGCAATCAAAATAATCTTAGTTACAAGTTACAATATTTATTATTTGATTAAATAAGTAAAGAAGCGTCAAATTCTTGAATAATTAAAACTTTTCAAACAGTCCAAAAGCGTTCAAAGTTTAATATACAAACGAAAGTTTGCCTTAAATAATTAAAATAAATAACTGATTTCAAGAAAAAGATGTTTTTAATTAAGCAAAGAATTTCATTTATGTTTAAAATAATTCCTCAGTTTTATGAAATTTCTCAATTTATGCGAAACAGTAAAATAAAATATATTTGAGCTGTTGTGACATCGGAATTCCGGGAATCTCTGCGAAAAATATTTTTATCTTCTCGAGTACCTCCTAACACGATAGTATAGCTCTAAGAATGAGTAAGACAATCAAAGTAAACGAGCTTTATTATTCTCAATGTCTGCTTTATACTTAACGGCGAACGTTGAGGAAAAAGTAAAATAAGACTACGTGACCCGAGTTTCAGAAAAACTAGAATAAAATAAAATTCCAGCGGTGCACTTAAGCTTCGTAATTTCCTCCTACGAAAGAGTGTTTTTTATCAACATTAAATTCTCTTACATATATATATACGTTTTATCTGAATGGTATTGTATCTTTCACTTAAATATTTAAACTCTTAAACTCTTTCATCTCAATTCCGTTTCTATTTAACTGTCTTTAAATAGCAGCTTCCTCGCTCTAAATTTTTTTACTCATGATTTACTCATCTATTATTTTTTACTTAACTTTCTTTTAGCTGCGTCGGTTTAATGAACATTTTAAATGACACGTTAATTGCTCGAAAATTAAAATGACATAATCTTTTATGTATTATCATATATATTTATATTTTTTTTTTCAAGACTACCTGGAAGTGAATTTAATATTTATTAAAATTTTTTTGCTAATATTTAAACCACTAGAATTTAAGTTGCGCGCACAAACGCGCGCCTAAATATAGAATTTGCATATATTTTCATGCTCATGATATATTCGAACAATGACATCACAAATAAATTGATGCCACATACATTTCATCTCAATTTTATACTTAAGAATTACAATTTATAAATTTTTGAGAATTATCATTGAAAAAAATTGGTTCAATGATTTTTCGATATTTTTTATCACAATAAACTTAGTTTAGTAGAATTTTTTTGTTAAACAAAATAATTAGTAAAGTTAGTAAAAATTTTTTCGATGTATATACATTCTTATAATTACCAAAAAAATATTTTTTAGTAAAAATATTTTTTTTTGTCAATGATAAATCTTGTTTTATTTTTAATTTTGCGATAAAAAATTATAAATTCATGGGTGATTAATTTTCAGTAATTAAAGTATTAACTCAATACCAAAAAAATATACTGCAAAAAATCATGAACTACTTTACAGAATTTTTCATGATTTTTCAAAGCTCAAATATTTGTCATGAATTTTCTTAATAAATTTCAAACATATTCACAGTCTTCATTTTCATCGAAATCATTTTTATCAGTTCAATCCATAAAGTAAAAGCCCGTATTTACGTATCGTGTTAGCAAACTACTTGACTTTACTCTACACACAGTAAGAATATCTAAAAGTAAATTCACTTACTAGCATTCCTTTAAAAAATAACTCTGAGTACACAAAGCAGCTTTCAAAGTAAATCAGTTGATTTTGCAGGTATAAAGCAACAAGCAACAAAGGAAAATATTGTCAAGCTGTTCCGACTACGCTCTTTTGTGCTGTTTAATAAACTGAAAAACGATATAAATAAATAAATCTAATAAATGAAAAAGCTAGTCAGCTTTAGAGTCATGAATTTTCATTGGCATAAAATAGTAATTTAATAAAAAAAAAATAATTGATAATAATAATAATATTTTCATATGTCCTATGTCCTGGTGGACTGCTAGACTGCTTATTATATTTTGTATTGAAGATATTGCATACGAGGACCTATCTTACATACAATAATTGTTCGAGTACACTCAAGTAGTTATCGATAGATTGTGTTTGATACTCGACTATATTGGAAATGATCTGGGTATATATAACTTGAGAAGTTTACTCAAGAGCACGCAATCAAGTGGCAATGTCAAGATTCAATTTGTCTTGAAATTCCCATCATTATTGATTCTATAATTAGCTAACAATTCGTTATTGTTATCTTTAATTTGCAATTAATAATTTATCACTTCATCAACAAAATAAATTTGTTTTGTTGTTCTTATTTTATAAAGCATCTTTTTGAAGAGTTTAATCATCTTAAATTAAACAAAAAAATTTTTTAATTAGAAAGTTATTTGCTTAATTAATAATTATGTAATTTTAAATAATAATAATACTTTTCTGCTTGGGTAATAGTCTTTAAAAATTTTTGTACGAATGAAAAATATGAGGAAATTTATAATTTCCTCGTATTAAGAGTACCCTGACGTAATCTCGTAACTCGCTCTTGATAATAAAATTGATAAAATTTTAATTTTACTACAGCGAAGAATAATTAAACTTTGATAAAAAGTAAAAATATTTAATAATTTCTCATACGAATTTTCAAGACACGAAATTACGGCAGAGTCCCTTAATATTCATACTAAACTATTTAATAACTTTTGCACAATGTATATTTAAAAACCACAATTATTTTGAACGCTAAATTACAATCATAATTATTATAATAAAAGTATCAAATAACTTCGTTATAATGATGATAAGTCACGACGTTCTAGAATTAAAATAAAATTAAGATTGTTTTTTATTAGTCTTATTTCATAAAAAGTAATAAAAATTAAAAATAATTAAATCTATGTTAAAAGTATGAAAAAATTATAAATTATAAAAAAAAACTCGAGGTAATTTTTGATTTAATTAGTTTTCAGGAGACGAATCACGTCGGCTTTGTATGAGAACGGTAAATTCAACAGAAAAGGGAACAACCGCTTCAAGTGGATTGGGAGTTGCGACGTACGGATCTCTAGTGTTTCAACTAAAAGACGCCCACAGAGAAGCCAGTGGCATCTGTGACTTTGTGTTTCGGGCAATGGGGGTTGTCAGCAAAACTATGTTTGTCACTATCTGCCTCGCATGTCTTTCAACTGTCCCCATCATCATGCTCATTATGGGTAATTATTATTATTATTATTATTATTATTAACGCAAATATCATTATTATATACTCATCAAATAACTAATTTCTTATCTCTGAGGTTAAAATGTACTTCAAAGGTATTCGAGGCATTCAAAGATATAAATTTCACCACAAGTTTTGTTTCAGATGCTTTTAGATTATTACCCCTATCAAGTTCAGAATTCAGACTGTTTTCAAATTATTTGAAATCTTATACAACAATCCTTAAACTTTTTTTTCTTAACTTATAATTTATCAGACAAAAAAAATATTTAGATTTTTTATCACTTTAATACACAAATTAATTTTAAAAAATTTTTCCGAAGAAAAATAAAAAAAAATATTATTTTAACAGTAAAACTAAAAATTTGTTCTATTTCATAGTTGTATGTCACTATAGTAAATAACGACTCTCTCATCTTAAAAAATTACAGTTTCAAACAGTAAAAATTGCGTTTCAATATATTGGCAGGGTGCGAAGTATATGGTGGGGAGGGCTGGCGCTGACTACCACTTTTACGTGTAAATTTTATGAGAAGAGCATGATTTAACGCTAATGGCGACCACTGGAACTAAATTACTCCATTTGATTTAACACAGAAAAAGCATGAAAATTGAGGGCAGCACCATCGTGCACCTGGCCAATAGTCTATACTATGAGGAGAAGGGGAAGGTCTCACACTCGGATAATTTAACATTTGAAACAGTAAAATTTATACTCTTAAAATATATATTTTACCAGTCCAAGCAAATCAATAATTATAGTTTGATTTTTAGCGTTGCGGTTAAAATTTACCATTTTACTTTGTAAATATTGACGTTGCTTGTTTAGAAATTTAGTAACTATAGTTTATATTTTTTACATATCATGCGATCACTTTTTAGGTACGAAATGATAAATATCAAAGTCAAAATTCTTAATTATTATACTTTAACATTTTGGACTTTCACATAGCGAATACTACTGTTTGAAATAGTATTTTTTTCCATGTAAATAATAAATTGTAGCATTTAAATGATAAATATTGTTAAGTGGTTGTTAGAATCACGATTTTACTGTTTGAAACGGTAATTTTTTCCAGTTGATCATAACTTATTATAAATCAACTATTATTTATTACAGTTTACTTTTTTCCGTGTAGGAACGTCCTTAAGAAATTTACAAATTTAAATTAATCAAATTTTTTAATCAAGCCGAAAAAACTTTCCCTAATTAAAACAACTCACCCTCAAAGACCCACTACTCCAGTATTTTTGAAGCAACATTAATCCTCAAAATGAATATCTTAAAAATAAATAAAACATATCAAACATAACACAGTGTGTATACAATACAACAAAGTAACATAAAAAGCATATAATTAACAGTAGCTTAGTCGAAATATATAATACATAATATCGACCGCAGATAATCGACTAGTAGGTTATGACACGCGAGACTCCTATCCGAGAGACCGAGCACCGGGCTAGCAAAGCAAGCTCTTCTCGACATGCAAGCCCACTTAATTTCGCTTGTGCCACTGGCCTCTGCTGTATAATACTGAATATCTACATACATACATAATACAATATTATATAACCATCAGCATTACACATACGAGCTGAGGTAAACGATCGATATATCCGGGTATATTATATATTTATACATATATGAATGATATATTACGTAGTATGCTACTGTCTATATTTATACAGACTTTATATTTGTATCTACTGTTCCGAGTATGTGTAAAACACCTACACCCAATGTGAATAATTACATATGAAATAAGTATATTATATACATTGTACAGTAATGTATATTAATATGAATGCTCATACGTCCTTTGACGAGCTTTTACATGTCCATTTAGATCGGGAGAACTTGTGATGTTGATTAAGGGCTGTTTGTTATTATGGACGCAGTGTTAACATTTTCGTATTTATCCGTGGCCGCATAGTTTGATGTTGGTTTTCATGATAATTATCTGATCAATGATAGTTTATACAATGTTTGATATGTAAATATTTTATATCTGGTTATTAATTAATAATTATCATAATCATTTATAATTCTGGGTGATTCTCTGTAAGGATGTTTTTTGCTGTCCCAGGCATTGTTTTATTAGAAAAATTATTATTTTGTTACTAAAAAAAATTTATTATGAAAGCAAAAAAACATTTCTATTTGGAGCATTGAAAATTGAAATGAAATAAATTTTGGTTTTTTTGCTATAAATTCGTAAACCACCAAAATGACAGTCCCCTGGGCTGTCCCACTCCCCAAATTAAAACTTTAAGATTAAAAAAAAATTTATTACGAAAGTAAAAAAACATTTCTATTTGGAGCATTGAAAATTGAAATGAAATAAATTTTGTTTTTTTTGCTATAAATTCGTAAATCACCAAAATGACAGTCCCCTGGGCTGTCCCATTCCCCAAATTAAAACTTTAAGATTAAATTTTAAGTTATTCGTTCATAATATATAATTTGGTCCATAATGTTTATAAACTTAATTAGTTAACTAACAATCTTCTTCAATGAAAAGTACTGAAAATTAATTTGTTTTATTAATTTCATCAAATCGAAGTCTGTCCCAGGCATTTTAAGTACAGTCCCTGCCAGAAGTTCAAAGCCAAAAATAAAAAAATCCAGCTTGTTATTTTACCTTTTGTAAAGTTTATAAGGATCTAACTAGCCTTAAGTTAATAACCATAGGGCTGTTAGCGCTTTATCGCCATTTTATTTAGTGTTAAAGCACCGTTTGTGCTGGAAATATGTGTCTGGGCCACTACAAAACTCAGTCCCCTGGCAACTATTTTTATATGTAATTTATTTATAAAAATGGATCTATAAGTCTCAATATTATTCTAATTAATGTAAATATTCATTGAGAACTTAAAAAACTGAATGCATTGAAATAGTTTGCTTGATTTTTCTCAATTTGATAAGAAAAAAACAGTCCCCTGGCAACAGTCCCCTGTCATGTTACATGGCACAAGATACACAAATATCGAAAAAGCAAAAATTAATTCGGCTGTTTATTTATTATGATTAAGTTAATAGTTTTGTAGCCCTTGTTAATTTTTTTTCTAATAAAATCAAAAATAATTTAGTCGGACAACTTTGTATAGATTTAAGACGCCCTTACAGAGAATCACCCTTCTATAACATATGAAATAGTCAATATTAAAGGTAAATGATAATACTCTTACATAGATACTAATAAAACGCTACTATTATAGTTTGAATTTTAATTAGAGCCTAAAAATTTAGAAATGATTATCGTGGAATGTATATTGCGGTATCGCTCAAAAGAAACTTGTTTTTATATTTTGAAAAAGTACACAGCACGGAAAAACTACAGGATGCCATCTAGTAGTTGAAATAAAAAATTTTTTTTATATTAAAAAAATAATTAATTAAATCTTTTTATAAAAATATTTACTTTATTTCAGTTCTTATTCACATACTTGATTACACCTTAGTCCAGGCGCCACGTCTGCTCAGTAAGGGAGGGGATGAAAGACATCTTTAAAGATAAAGCCAATAGTCACTTGACAAACCTGCAGGTCTACTTATCAAGTAATAACTTGATACGAACGGTTGTGTGTTAACCTTAAAGTGAACATATTTACTTAAGCGTACAAGAACTTGAAATAGAGTGAGTTTTTTAAAAGTTACCAGTGACATTTAAAAATTTTATTAAAAATGGAGCTAATTACTATGGAAGAATATAATGAAGTAACAAAACAAATTGAAGAAGGTCACGTTGATGTGAATTCGAGGTATGTGTTGGGAGAATTCGGAGAAGTCTCCATCCTTCATATTGCTGTATATATGAAGGATTATAAATTTATCAGCTATCTGATGAATAAACACGTGGACGTAACCATCAACGAGGCCAGCTGCGGTACAGTTTTACATCTCGTAGTTTCCGAGAAGCTGAAGAACTTGGCCATATTCAGCATTCTCAATGGAGGTGCAGATGTCAATGCCCAGGATTCTGCTGGGAACACCGCGCTCCATCTCGCAGTCAAAGGAAACCAAGTCAAAATCGCCATGATGCTATTAGAACATGGAGCCAACGTCGATGTGACTTGTTTTCCAACCAGGGAAATTGATTATTGGGCTCCTCTAGACCTTGCTATCATCGAGAAAAAGTTGGAGCTCGTAGAATTACTTTTGACTTACGAGTTAGACATCGACTGCAGGTCGAAAGTAAGATACCCTCCTCTGGTGATAGCGAGTCTCTATGGGTCTGACACAGCCATGGAGATGATTCTACGAAGAGGAGCAGACGTTAACTACTACAAGGAGGAAGGTTTGATAACAGAGTTTCCACTGCAGGCTGCTGTCATTTCTGAGGACTTAAACAAGGTCAAGATTCTGCTGAGAAGTATCAATATCCAGGTTGACAAAAAGAACCTGGATGGAGAAACTTCTCTCCATTATGCCATGAGCTCTCCGAAGGACAACTGTCTTCAACATTTCCTGGACATTGGAGCTGATATCAACTTGTTGAACAATCGCCGTCAGTTGCCTCTTGAGTCAACTGATCGGGAAAGTGCAGCGAGCAAAAGGCTGTTACTCAAAAATCACCTGGTGAAATTGGACACAGCTGGATGTCAGCTCGCAGAAGGAAACTTGAAAGCCATCCAAGGGAAGGAGTTCGAAGATATGAGGTTAAAGTGCGCCAAAGAAGTGGAGGAACTGAAACAGACATTCGTTGGATCAAGAAATTTCAGTCTGTTCTCGGTTCTTCATAGGAACGTGCATTGGTTAGCAAGAAGACTCAAGCGGATCGACGAAGGAGATGTTTTAAACTCAAACATTCGTGAGTGCTTTCCGCTGTATGGAAATATGCTACACTATAAATTAAAGATGGGAGCTAATAGAAAGCAATTGTTGATCAATGTTGAAGAGTTGGTCAACGATATCTTTCTACATGAACTCCTAGATACGTTTGTTAGAAATATAAGTAGCTATTTAACCAATGAGGATTTGGAGGTAATCAACGAAGACAAATCGAGCTACAGTCTTTGGATGTAATTATTAGATTTTAACTCTTTGAGAGAAAATGTAAATTTTTTTATTGTTGATTTTTTTTTAATTGTTATTAAAAATGTAGTTATAATTAATTTTCAAATTATGTGATAATTTTTTTTAATATTGTACTTATTGATTTTTAATAAATGTCTAGTATTGTTAAATTAAATTTAAATTGAAAGACTAATTGTAAATTAATGTTTAAAAATTTTCAAATTAATATGTATCTGTGAACTTATTTTATTATTAAAAATAAATTTTCTTTAAAAAATTTGTATTAAGCCATTTACTTTAATAAAAAATTTCATAATTCTAACTTTCGTTTGTTTATTTATTGATTTATTTTTTTAATATTTTATCATATATAGTAAAAATTCTAAATTAAATTTGATTGTTTCTATTATTTTCATAAATAATATTTTTTTCAATAATAAAGGTCTCCAATTGAAAAGAAACAAGTTTATTCCTAACAAAATCTCAGGACTTCCATGAATAAAACAAATCAAATATATTAAATAGTAGGTACTTAGGTCCAGACGCCCCACCGTGACCGAGCCTCAAGACACAAGCCATTATATGGTCAAGGCTAATTGAGGTTATAGATCAAGTTATAACAAGTCATTGACCTTATTGTTACCCCTAAAGTTAGGTATGATCAGGCTTATGATGAATTTCATATATTGTTTCTATTTATTACGTATCCCGCAATAATTACTTATTATTATTATTATTATTATTATTATTATTATTATTATTATTATTATGGCCTGAAAGCTGATTTTATAGTTTTTTTTTTTTTTTTTTTATTTTAGGGTTGTTCAGACAATATTTTATTACAATTTTTTTGCGATCGTTTTTTAAAAATTGATATATTATACAAAATAATAAAAAAAATATTCAATTTTATTTACCTAAAAATTAAGTTTGATAAACTTTTATTTGAACGACGGGAAAAGTAATACGCAAGTTACAACCCGCGTCTGACTATTGAAGCGCTCGATCACTGAATTAAGAGCTGACAGAAGCAATTCGCCCGGTGTAGATAATTTAACTAAATTTTGTAAGATAAATACTGAATAATTGTTTATTTTTCTTCGAATTAATTTCGCAATAGAGTTTAGTGTCAGCAGTAATTCAAATTTAATAAATTTGTGACAGATTTACGGATAAAGAATAAACGATTTAGGGTTCGGGAATATTGAGCGGTGTATTAAAAACTATGACAGTCGAATTATAGGATAAAAAGTAAATTATTGAAAAAAAAAAAAAATCAGAATCAATTTGGCGTTAATCCAAAGCGATTTGAATAGGATATATTGACATCTAAAATTGCCTAGTTGACAATTGTTATGCGGATTGGTATCCTCTCTCTCTCCTGCTTCCGCTTCCTCTTTAGACGTAGACGAATCCTGTCGCTAGGCTGTCAATTATAATCGAAACTTAATTTACTGTTGACAGTCAGCGTGAACTTGTGCTATTGATTCTCCTTTATCTGATATTGCTTGGACATGACAAAAGCGATTTCTCTTTCAGCCACTGGGTTTTGCGGGGAATGAGGATGAACCATTAAATGGCTATCACTTATCGTATAAGTCACTATTTATTTATTTTATCTAATTATAAGTTATTTAAAATTTTCAGCGTTTTTTAGAATTTTTATAATAATAATAATCTATATTATTAAGAGAACAAGAAAAATTTTGTGGCCAGCGTATTTATATGATAAAATGGGTTTTTATGGTTAAATTTGGTATTATTAGAAAGGTCTTGACCTGGAGTTGTGCCTTTTCATGGTTTCACGTCATTCTCACAAATAGTCAATTTATTATGATAAGTATTTAAATTGCATTCGAAAATGCTCTATCTCTAAATACATAATTAAAAATGGCCTTGTATCTCGTGAACTATTGACATTTTTAAAGATATAAACCCATCCCGATGTTACACTCATCAAGACCTTTCATTTGAGTACCCACATCAATTTTTCATATATTTATATGTTCATATATTCATATAATATGAAAAATATATCAAAAATGCAAATGGGTACTTAAATGAAAGCTCTTGATGAGTGTAACACC